CATCTCATACCACCCAACAACTGCCATAAAACATCTCATACCTCTTTTACACCTCTTTCAACCAATTCGTAAACATCCAACGAAATTTGGGTCACAAAATAACATATTCCCGTTGAAATAATTCCATATGTTGGCTTCACATTCAATTGCAAATTTTATGGGTTAGATGTATGGCTCATAATGACATTATGATTAGGCCAATTATGTTAAGTGATCAATTTGGGCCATTTTACACCTTACGGGCGTTATTTGATATAATGTGGTAATTTCGAGTATGTGAGCCAAAATTATGCGTAAATCTTAATTAGGGTTTAAGTCGATAATGGGACGACTAAATAAATTCTTATATAAAGGTTAGTCCCCTCTTTTCTCCATATGGTTTTATTGGCTTACCCCTATTGATGACCAACACTTTTGTGAGGAGCAAGGAGGGGAAGATCTGGCTAGTATTACAATTACAACTATTATTCATATCAACGATAGTTTCCGCATGAATTCGTTTTATTAATTTATTATTTTGTGATTCTTGATTCTTAGCATGATTACAAATAAATTTCAACAATTGGTATTAGAGCTACATGCTTAAGATCAAAATCCTTCGTAAAAAAAATAAAAAGATAATAATAATAATAATAATATATTATTACTTTAATGCGGCACGTGGTCTTGTCCGTATCTGTTGCTATGAAAGTTTATTAAAGTTTGCCTTTGAATTACCCAACTCTCTGTTAACTTGCTTTTGCCTCCTGCAACCACACTTCAACCTCCTTCTCTTTGATATAACTTGGTGATGTTGTGTGGAATTTGCCTACACTATCTCAAAAGGAATAAATTACCTTTATTGGTGAAATCAAAGAGCCACGGTTTCCACCAAGAATACGCCAAAAAAAAAAATTTGGGCGAGAAGTCGCTACTGTGTTTCGAGCAGCAGCACCACCTGGAAACGCCGCCAACTGCTGCTACCTTTGCGGTAGTAGCGCTGGCACTACCCGACGTCGCATACGAAAAAAAAAAGATAAGGGTTTTCTAAGATAACAGGCAAAAGGGAGACGAGGGCTCCTGTTGTAAATATCTGATTTCCAAGCCCCTGTTTACAATTACAGATTGGGGTTAGGTTTTGTAAATAATAAAATGAGGGCTTGTTATGTAATTTTTATATTTGAAGGATATGATCTTAATTTGTATTTAGGGTTAAAATGTAATTTTCAATAAGGGGCTTTTAATTTGAACTTTTAAAGTTTTTGACCCTAAAATTTTAATTTTTGACCCACTTAAAAATTTTATTTAATAATTGACTCAATTGAAATATATTAAATAATGATAATTATAATTTAATTGATGACTTTTGTATTATTTCATTAAAATGATTATGCATTTAAATGTTGCCATTATTTGCACGCTTAAATTTCAATTTTTATATATATTGAAATATTGAAACTTGTTACCCACTTTATCTCCAAATCACATATAAATTTGTCGTTTATTGATTAATGACTATGAATTGTTACATAATTATTGTTTTGTGATTGAATTTTTCATGGACATTGAGACGATTCTTATTTTCCCACTGAGAGATAAATATTTTGAAATAAAAATAGATGGTAGCTACCAAAGTGACATACTCATTATTATTTATTCGATTTTCTCTACAATAAATATATATATATTTTTGCACAGCAATTTTGATTTATTGCATATAATATTTTGCCCAAAGGTGTTATTATATGTGATATTTTTTGAAAATTGCATAACACAGTTAACGAGCTTATTTTGGTCTAAAAATTTCCTTCTGTCCAAAGGTGTTGGTGCTTCGAAAACCAATGTAATTTTGTTAGCTGGCTACATGATGTGTTTTAAGAGTATCTTATAACATGTTGTATTGTCAACTTAAAAGTGACTTTATGTGATGCATATAGGCTCTTACCGTAATGAAATTCATATATTTTGATTCAAATTACAAATTATCTAATTAATAGCCCATATTAATTAGTTGAAAATTTTATCATCCATTTGATTGCATGCATTATGTTTGGATGATATTGAGTGTGATATTTTATGTTTCCACAGTTTATAATGCCTCATCTCTTTCAAATCAATTATCCGCTATTAAAAACTTGACTGGGAATAACTATGTGAGATGGAAACGAGAAGTAGAAATAGCACTTGGTCTTTTGGACTTGGATTTTGCAGTGGAGAATAAGCTTGAGAAACTCATAGATAAGAGTACTGTTGAATATGTAGCCGAGTATGAAAAGTGGGAAAGGGCTAATAAACTATGTTTAAAAATCATTAAGCGATCGATATCTGATTCTATTCTAGGTGCCATCTCCGATAATGAAAATGTCAAAAGTTTTATAGATGCCATAGGAGAAAAATTTAGGGAAAATTGCAGTCGAGGTACCAAACCTTTCGTTTATTAGCAGACTTTGCCCAAACCTTTAGTTTGTACCACCGGAGATACCAAACCTTTAAAAAATGTGTGGGGCCAGTCCAAAATGACAGTTTTCGTCTGTTTGACCGCCACCGTCAGTTGACCCCTTTAATGATAATTTCAAGAATTTCTCCAAATAAGTGAAGGGCAACATGGTCATTACACACATTTCCCTCCTCAACATCAAACACGTCAGTTGCAACTTCCTTCCACTCACCATCCACTATGGAACTTGTGAAAACCCACGAAGAAGATGAAACGGACTTCGAAGAAGACGAACATCCAGTGGACATTGCAACCCACATTCGAGGCTCTCTTCCCCAACCGTGTATGGTAAGTGTCTTACGGTGAAGTTGTATGATTATGAAGTTCCCCTGTTCGATTGTGTTCACGTACTGGGGAATTCAGAAATTTTAAATGATTTGGTGTATTAGAGCGTAATGCTTGTGTACTATCTTTTCTGCACATGTTCATTGCTCGAACTGAAAAGGGCTAGGGCTTGACTTCCTTTTTTTCGGTGTTTTTTCAGGGGAGAATTCAAAGTATTTCAGCATACGGCTTCATCATGGTGGAATTTTATTGCAAAAGATGAGAAATTTTGTGTATAAGCATGGGAAAATAAGTTATATAGACTATATCGACCCTGATTTCTCAATAGATTTCTTTTGGACAATGTCGTGAAGATGTTAGGATATTCTGATAGAATTAGATATCTGTACAAGATGGAGAAGAAAAGAATGAATGAAGGTTCATTTTGGTTGGTTAAAGATTCAGATTTCATGAATTTAGTGAAGCGGCTTGGTGATAATAGGACAGCTGAACTGTATTGCTTGCCTGTAGTTGAGGTTTTGGAGTTGCCTTGGGATGAAACAGAACAGAAGGATGTTCGAGTGTTTGATTATGAGACTGGCGAGGAGTTGGTGAAGGTTCAAAAGTCTGGTGAAGCATTGAATGAGCAGCAACCATGCTATGCAATTGAGATTTTTGATGAATCAGTAGAAGGTGATGACGTGTATGTAGTTGATGAAGTGGATGACATGGAAGCAGATGAAGAGGAAGTTTATACAGTGCATGGAACAGAGCATGAGTATACAGAGGTTGATTTTATAGGGGCTGGCGTAGACTCACATGAATCAGAAGTGCATGTTGCTGAACCAGAGAAACCACATGATGTTGAACCATAGTTGAGGTCTGAACATAAGTTGCATGACGCTGAACCACAGCAGCAGGCTCAACAGGAGCTGCATACTACTGAACAAGAGGTGCAGGCTGCTGAACATGATGCCGAAGCAGAGGTACAGCCTGCTGAAATTGATGTGCATGTTTCTGGACCACACTAGCAAGCTGCTGAACATGAGTTGCATGATGTCGAACCAGAGGTGCAAGCTGCTGAAACTGATGTGGAGTTTGGTGAAGGTCCTGAGCTGGATGATGAATATGAGGACGGTATTTTGGGAGAGGAATTCACTGACTTGGAGTACGAGCAGGAAGAAAATATTGCTATGGAGGATAATGATGAAAACACATATTTCAGGTTGAGTGAAGGTTTTGACATTGGTACAAGTGGTGAGCAGGAAGGTGTAAGGGATATGCAGGAAGGGGAGACAGCTGCTGGGGAAGAATCTGGAATAGAATACAAAGACTCCAGCGAGCTTAGAAGCTTACCCAGTGATACCGAGGCTGAGGGATCATCTGCTAGAAGGAAGAATGTGTGTTGGTTTAACCCTGCAACTGATATGGAAGATCCACAGTTCAAGCTAGGTAATGTCCACTGTTTTGTGTAATTCATTTCTGGTTTAATTCATTTGGATGATAATGCATTTTGGTTTAATTCATTTCTGCCAGGGATGAAATTCGACAACGTCAAGATTCTAAGGAATGCAGTAGTTCAATACTCAGTAAAAAATTCCAGGAAACTGAGATACGTGAAAAATATGAGGACACGGTTGAGAGTTCGGTGTCAAGATAATTGTCCTTGGGTTTTGTATGCGTACCAACAACCTGACAAGAGTCTTAGAATTAACACATTTGTAGATGAGCACACATGTACCATGGTGTGGCAAAATAGAAGGGTTAATTCAGGTTTTCTGGCAAAGAAGTACGTGAGAAAATTTAGGTCTGATCCAAACATTCCAATGAGTAGTTTTATGGAGACTGTGAAAGCGAACTGCATGTATGAGATTTCAAAGCATCAGTTTTACAGGACAAGATCGAAATGTGCAGAAGTTATTAATGGGATTGTAGCTTACCAGTACAAAATTTTATGGGATTACGGTGAGGAATTGAAGAGAACAAATCCAGGCAGTACAGTCCAAATCGAAGGTTTGGGACATACTTTTAAGAGATTGTACATCTGCATAGGGGCTTGTAAGGAAGGGTTTAAGGGGTGGTGCAGGCCAGTTGTTGGGTTGGTTGGATGCTTCCTAAAATCTGCAAAAGCTAGACAGTTGTTGGCAACTGTTGGCATTGATGGTGAGAATTGTATGTTCCCGTTAGCATGGGCAGTTGGAATGCAGAGAACAAAACAAACTGGCAATGGTTCATAGAATTGTTGGTTGATGACATAGGGATGCACAACCCTCGAGCTTGGACATTCATTTTCGACAAACAAAAGGGTTTGGTGGATTCCATAAGTCAATACTGTGAAGGAGCGGAGCATAGATGTTGTGCTAGACATCTTTATAGCAATTTCACCTTGGCACACAAAGGTCTAGCACTTAAGAACCTATTTTGGATCGCAGCAAGGGCAACAACAGTGCCAGAGTGGAAGAGTGCAATGAATGGGTTAAAAGACATAAGTGAAGAGGCTTACAACTGGTTCCTTGAAAAACCTCCTTCCCAGTGGACCAGATCCCATTTTGAAGAGCATTCGAGATGTGATATTCTTCTTAATAATTTGTGTGAGGCATTCAACTCTTCCATTGTTGTTGCCAGAGACAGGCCCATCATCTCCATGCTAGAGAAAATTCGGCTTCAGCAAATGATAAGGATGAATGCAAAAAGGGAAGCGGCAAAGAGGTGGGATCATGCATTCAGGCCAAGAATTGTGAAAATCATTGAGAAGGCTAAGTCTGAGGCAAGGTACTTGAAGGCAGACTATGCAGGCAACCAGAAATTTGAGATAAGCAGCAGAGACGGTTTGAGGTGGAGCGTTGACTTGACAGAACATGCATGTGCTTGCAGAAAATGGCAGCTCACTGGAATACCATGTCCCCATGCAATATCTGGCATGCTTTCAAGGGATATTGGCATATATGAGTACATCGACCCATGGTATAGCAAGGAGACATACCTAAAATGTTACTCCCCAGTGATCCACCCGATGTCAGGGCCTGAACTGTGGCCAGAATTGGGAAAGCATCCTCTCACTCAACCTCAAAAGAGAAAACAGGGTGGCAGACCCAAAAAATTGAGGAAGAGGTCACAGGCAGAGCCACCTGCAGGCATGAAGATAGGAAAGACTGGCATGAAGATGACGTGTAAACGCTGTGGAGGGTCTGGACATAACAGAAGAAGCTGTAAGGAGGCACTGCCTGGTGAAGATAGTTCACAGAAACCTCCAAGTGACAGACAAAGAAGTCCAAGCATAGAGGATCGCAATCTTGAACATCATGTGGTTTCTCTTGTATAGTTACCTTTTTGGGGAAATGCTGTGGTTTTTTGTAAACTGAACTGGAAATATATGCTTCCAATGCTGTGTATTTTGTAGATGTAACTGGAATTTTTGATGAAATTGTTCAATGTGATGATAATGTTGATGTCGAATATCTTGCATTATGTTTCTGCTTTTCGTTGTTGGTTTCTGAAATTGTATTCGTAAGATCTGATGTGCAGGCGATTATGAAATATATGAGAATGTTTGATACTTCCTATGAACGTATTATCAAATGTTTGGTACCTTTACTGCAATGTTTTTAAAGGTTTGGTACTCTGTCTGAAACCATTAGAAAAGGTTTGGTACTGATTCTGCGAATCGTTATAAGGTTTGGTACCTATGCTGCACCTTCTTCAGATAAGTTTGAAGTGTAATCTGCTCTTTTAATTTTGCATTTGACATAGAGGCCAGGAAAATATCGTTAAATTTCAAGTCAAAATGTACAACACAATTTTTCCTTTTTTACATATGCATTTCACAACACCGAGCACATGGCTCCATTTCGAAACCCTAAGCTCAAATTTCTGGAACAAAAAACTAAAATCCTACAATCTGACCCTACATACCTAGAAACAAACCCATTTTGCAAACACTCCACACACAAAGCCGAAGAGCCAGATCTTCCACACATTTGGTCTTGTTGCTTGAACGGTGTCGATTTCAGCTTCCATTTCCCTCCTAGCTCGTAATAGACCAGGAATCAAATCCTTCGATCTCTCACACATCGGAGGGTCACACCACATAAAGAAGGTGCATCCATCCACATCTTGGCTTCGAGGACAAGTGAGGAATCTTCTTCCCGAGTTCAAGTTCGTCCACGAGGTCTTCATCTGCGCTGGGGAACCACATCTGCATACATTCCCCTCCATCTTCTTGATGATTTTTTTTACTACCTGTGAGAGAGAAGGTAAGTAATATATAGTGATAAAGAAATGGAGGGAAATAAACAGTGAAGTAAATAATAGGAGGGAAATGTGTGTAATGACCATGTTACCCTTCACTTATTTGGGGAAAATTCTTGAAATTATCATTAAAGGGGTCAACTGACGATTTTGACG